TGCCAAGCCTTTCTTCCTAGTCCATCTTAGTCTGGAAGCTCCACTGAAACCTGTTCAGCATCATAGTAACACACCAGTCTCCACTGACAGATGAGCGGTGTCAGTGCCTGAGGTGTGTTGGCGGGGAATCGAACCCAGGTCTCCTGCATACAATGTGAGAATTCTACCACTGAACCATCAATGCCTCATACACTTGTGTATTCTGGCTAAATATTAGACCTGGGAATGTGGCTGGAGCTCCAGCAGCCATTTTTGACCATGAGAGAAACCTTGAGGATAGAAGCCATGAGTCGAGGATGGCAAAGTTGAAAGAGAGGAGGGGCCTTGATCCCTGATGACTTTGTGGAGCTGTCACACCAGGCTTGGACTGCCCATCTTCAGCGTTATACTACACACATAGTAGAAAAAACCCATATTTACTTATGGCTCTGTCATTTTGACTTTTGTATTTTCCTCAGCCAAACCTAAACTTAACTGATATCCAACCCATAAAGTATTGGGAAGCCCAAATGAAATGAGGAACAGGAAAGTATTTTACAAATTCTGCAGTTCTATGCACATCCCGTTGCCATCGAGTTGATTCTGACTCATAGTGACCCTATAGAACAGAGTAGAGCTTCCCCATAGGGTTTCCAAGGCTGTAAAGCATTTTTTTTTAAATTGTACTTTAGATGAAGGTTTACAGAACAAATAGTTTCTCATTAAACAGTCAGTACACATATTGTTTTATGACTTTGGTTAACAACCCCACAGCATGTCAACACTCTCCCTTCTCGACCTTGGAGGACCCTTTTTTTGGTGAAAATATACATAGCCAAAGTTACACCATTTCAAATGTTTCTACGTGTACAATTCAGTGACATCGATTACATTCTTCCAGTTGTGCTGCTATTCTCACTATCCTTCTCCAAATTATTCCATCACTATTATCTTCAACTCTCTGCCCCCTAGGCTTCCCATCAAACCTTTTGAGCTATTGTCAATTTGATCTCACATAGGTAATTCTTCTCTTTTTTTTGTACTTTAGATGAAGGTTTGTAGAACAAATAGTTTCTCATTAAGCAGTTAGTACACATATTGCCCTATGACAATGGTTAACAACCCCATGACATGTCAACACTGTCCCTTCTCATCCTTGGGTTCCCTATCACCAGCTTTCCTGTCCCCTCCTGCCTTCTAGTCCTTGTCCCTGGACTGCTCTGTCCCATTAGTCCCGTTTTGTTTTATGAGGCTGTCCAATCCCTGGCTGAACAGTGAACTTTGGGAGTGACTTCACCACTGAGCTAAAAGGGTGTCTGGGGGCCATACTCTTGGGGTTTCTCCCGTTTGTCAGGCCAGTAAATCTGGTCTTTTTTTTTGTGAGTTAGAATTTTGTTCTACATCAAGGCTGTAAATCTTTATGGAAGCAGACTGCTGCGTCTTTCTCCTGTCGAGTGGCTAGTGGGTTCAAACCACTGACCTTTCAGTTAGCAGCCGAGTGCTTAACCACTGTACCACCAAGGCCCTCTTTCTATGAACATAAAAGCAAAACCAAACTCACTGCTGCCGAGTCGATTCCGTCTCACAGTGACCCAATAGAACAAAGTAGAACTGCCCCATAGGGTTTACAAGGAACTACCAACCCTTTGGTTAGTAGCTGATTTCTTAACCACTGTGCCACCAGGCCTTGGAAACCCTATGGGGCAGTTCTACTCTGTCCTATAGGGTAGCTATGAGTTGGAATTGACTCGATGGCAACTGGGTTTTTTTTTGTTTGTTTGTTTTGATGCCACCAGGGCTCCTTCTATGCACATAGAAGGCATTAAAATAATTTTTAAAATTTTGATGAATGTATACACAACCAAAGATACATCATTTCAACAATTTATACATATACAATTCAGTTCCATTGGTTACATTCTTCAAGTTTTGCTACCATTCTCACTATCCTTTTCCAAATTATTCTACCACCATTATCCTAAACTTACTGTTCCCTAAGCTTCCCATCCAACTTTTTGAGTTGCCATTGTCAATTTGATCTCACATAGGTAATTCTTTAAAAAACCGCAACGATCAAAGCAGACATTCTTTACTAAGACTTCAGGGGATAGTTTTGGTTTAAGGTTTAAAGATTAAAGATTATCTCAGGACAATAGTTTCAGGGGTTCATCCAGCCTCAGTGGCTCCAGAAAGTCTAGATTCCATTGAGAATTTGAAATTCTGTTCCACAACATATAAGGCAATTTTATTTTTGCATTATTTGTAACTATGATTGTGACTGGTTTAGGAAAAAGAGGTTGAAATGGGCTGTGATGATCCTGGCCAGAGGTCAGAGGCTCTTTGCCTTCCTTCAGCTCTATGTTCTTGAGGGCTCTATAGCATTCACAGATGCAGAGATAATAGCAGCACCCCAAAAGACTGGCAAGAAAAGAGGATGCCAGCTGTTGGGCCAGATGTCAGCAGGGTGTTTGGGTGACTTTTGTTGAGCTGGAGTCAGAATTCTCAGCTGTTGGTTGGCATTCAAGCATAAGGGTTAAAGGTCAGGACAGACTTGGGTTTAAATCTGGGCTCCACCCTTACTTGCTGTGTGACCCTGAGTAAGTTACTGAACTTCTCTGAGCCTCAGATTCCTCATCTATAAAATGGGAACAATTATAGCCCCTGTGACCTAGGGTTGTCATGGAAATTCAATGACATCACATACCCAGTAGGGAAAAAAGACAAAGCCCCAGCCTATCTGTACCCAGTTCAGTATGCAGATTTTTTTTTCTGCTCTGATTACTTGCCCTTGACTGATTACAAATTGACAGGCTGGATTCTGGTTCATTCCGTCTTTCCTTTATTGATTCATTCAGTCAGCAACTAGTGCCTACTGAATCAAAAGTGCCTAGGCGATGAAAAGAGTGAGCGGGGCAGACCTAGACCTCAGCATTCAAATGCAGTTGGCTCAAAAAATGATTAAAAAAAAAGTAGAACCAGAGTTTGAGGGCCTCTCCCTACCCCTTACTCTTATCTTCTTTTCTTGACGGCTTCCCTTAAGGTTTCTGCCATGGCCATCCTGGTCTACCCCATCCCAGTCAGTACATGGTTTCTGTCAGGAGGTCTTAAGTCACTAATTTATAAAACCAAACCCACTGCTGTTGAGTTGATTCTGACTCACAGCGACCCTATGGAAAACAGAGTAGAACTGCCCATGGGGTTTCCCAGGCTATAATCTTTACAGAATCAGACTACCACATCTTTATCCCTCAGAGCTGCTGGTGGGATCAAACTGCCAACCTTTCAGTTAGCAGCTGAGCACTTAACCATTGCGCCACCATGATTCCTCACTAATTTATACTATGGTGCAAATGACTACCAATGCCTCAAAGCATGGACCTACAAATGACCCCTGTTATGAATCTGACTGCCTACTAGAAGACAGTTCCTGTGCATATAAAGCAAGAAGGTTCCAGGTAGAAAGGCCCAGAGAAATTATTCAGTCTGAACCCTTTCAATTCACAGGAAGAAATCAAGCCAGGCAAAAATGATCCAGGTCCAGGGAGGGTGACCCAGCCAAAGTCACCCAGTCATGTGGCCAGCCTGGGTGGGGAGCAGAAAGCAACTCTCCTGGACTCCATACTCACTGCCTTGCACCACCTGTGTACTGAGCATTTTCTGACTAGTCCGTGCAAGGTGCCCAGAGAGCTACTGAGTCAAGACAGGAAGTGCCTCTGTCTTTCAAGAAGCCTACAGCCTGACAGGGGACATGAACACATATGGTAGCTCAAAAGACCTTTTGGCCCCACTGATTTGAGATGCTGCCTTCATTGTATACTAACTTCTCCAGTATGCATAAAACTGTTCTAGACTCTGTTCTGTTATACCGCTGTCTCTTCCTGCATCAACACTATAGTGTTTTAAATAATAAAGCTTTATAAAATATTTTAGTATCTGGTAGCAGAAGTCTTTTTTCTTCTTTTTCTAGACTGTCTTGGCTATTCTTTTACTGTTCCAGGTGAACTTCAGAATTAGCTTTTGAGTAACCTAGCCATTGAATCTTCTTGAGCACTCTGTTTATGCCATGTTCTGGGCATTCTGAGGTGTCAGGCACTCTATTTCTGCCCTCAGGAGCTCACAAGCTAGCTGGCAAGTATAACCAAACAACAAGTGTAAAGCAACAACAGGAATCTCACGCTATAGGCAACAAAAGCCAAATGAATGAGGAATCCAGAAGAAATAAGTGCTGTGAGTTCCAATGTTCCTTGGGGCTAGGAAAGCCATGGAAGGCTCAACAGAGGAAGTGACATTTATACTGTACTTTGATGGATGAGCAGGAGTTTGTCAGGTATAGAAGAAAATAAATGTTTTGAGTTGAGGAAGTCAGAGAAAACTTCTTGGAGATGATATATTTCACTTTAGAAGTGAGTAGGAGTTTGCCAGATTAAGAAGGCAGAATAAAGAATGGAGCCCGAGATGGGAAAGTCACAAGAATGCTCTCTGAACACATTTTAGCTCTGTTTTGAGCTGGAGGAATCAGAGAAGGTGCTTGAAAGCGATTTTTTTTTAAAAAGGATTTTATTATAAAAGTAATACAAGGAGATGACATTTGACCTGGGCTTTGAGGAATAAGCAGCAGTTCCCGGGGCAGAGGAGAGAGGCAGCACTGAGTTGTGTGGTAGGCACAAAACAAAACGCTTCTCGGGAGCAAACAGAAAATCTTCCGGCTTCCGGACCACTTTCTACGATCCAAGATCCAGGATCTGAGGGTCCTACTCACGTGGGCGCTCAGGGTTCAGTGTCGAGCCCTGCAATTCGGATTTCCTCACGTGGGTTTAACCACAGAGAAGAATCGGCTGACAGCACTGAGGCGCCGGTTTGCGGAGCCGGAGGGCAACGCTGAATGCTTTATGTCGGAATCCACCAATAGGATGGTGGCAAACGGTTACCAGGGCTACGGAGGGGGCGGCAGCGGGGAGGCGGGGCCTGTGTCCTAGGGGCGGGGCCTAGGCGGGGCTTATATAGCTGGCGGCGGGCGGAAGGCGGGGTGTGGGGTCGGTGGCTGCTGGGCGGGCGGGGCGCAGGCCGCTGGGCCCGAGCCGGGGGGAGCGAGTGAGCGGAGGCGCCGAGGATCCGGTTCACTCGCTGGGGAGACCCATGGGCCGAAGCCGTGTAAATGCGTTTTAAGGCGAGTGCGGGGGAGGGAGTGGCTTTGGCAGCCTCCGGGAGCGGGCGTCCTTGGCTCCAGTGCTGACTTGCCCACCCCCCTCGCCTCTCTTGCCTCCCTCAGCAGGGGCCTCGGCTCCGCAACTGCCACTCCTCCTCGGGGTGTTGCACAAGTTTCGAGGTCACCGGCGACCCCCCCTAGCAGCACACCTGGCTCTGACCCCCGCGAAGGAGGACGGGGCTTGGTAAGGGGATGGGGCGGGGGGAGCAGGACCTCGGCCCTGCACTCGGGAGGGGTCACTCGGACAGAACCTCAACCTTTCGTTCTCGCTAGGAGCCCCCAGCAGCCCCCACCACCCTGGGGCGCCCCCAAATGCGCTTAGAATCCTAGCACAGGAGGACTAGTCAGGCCCCCATTGACAAATGAGAAAACTGAGGCTATGAGAGGGGACGAAGCGGACCCAAAGCCCTGCAGCAGAGAGTAGAGTCGAACCTAGGCTTCTGCTTCGCGTGGCTAAACGCAGTCTCTAGGTGGATGTGGTGATGACTGAGGGTCGTAGAACCTTCCCTACTTAAGCTTCTCAGCTGTCCTTCTCCTTCTCTTTCATTCTTTCCCTCATTCCTGGAATTTCAGAGGTGATAAGTTATCTCCAAACAATCCCTCCATTTTACAGATGGGACAGCTGAGGCTTGGAGACGCCGTGACATCAAGGCATACGATGCCTTGTCCCAGTCTAGAATCCAGGATTCTTGCCCATCCCCACCTTTTCCATGAACCTAAGTTCCCCAGGCTTGTGCTGGGAGCGGGGTGTGGTGGGACTGGGCACCCTGGCCTGAGAAGGTGGGGGAGGGGGCAGCGGAGTCCAGGCCCCCCATCGACCCTCTTCCTCTGCTCCTAGTGTGTTGCATGCTTTCTAAGGCGGCAGCAGCAGCAGCAGAGGCGGCTCCATCCAGCCCGTGGGCTCCTGCTCCTCATCGGCATGGCTGGCTACCTGAGTGAATCAGACTTTGTGATGGTGGAGGAGGGCTTCAGCACCCGAGACCTGCTGGAGGAGCTCACTCTGGGGGCGTCACAGGCCACCACGGTGAGGGCTGGTGGCAGGGGTGGGTGGCCTGTTCCCTGTGCAGGCCCCGCTGCCTCTGGAGGGGCCCCCAGGACCCTCATCTCTTTCTTCACTTACTTGGTCTTCAGCCTTTTCTGTCTGCAAGGGAGGGACTCATTTTTTCCCCAGTTCCTGGTCCTTGTCCCCAAACCTGTCCCTCCTTTTGTGCTCCCACCATCATTTACCCAGTCCTGTAGGCCAGAAACCTGGGAGTCCTCCTCTCCTCCCCCGTGTCCCTCACCTCCCACATCTGGGCATCACCAAGCGCTGTGAATTCTGCCTCAAATAACTCTCCCTTGTGCTCTTCTGGAATCTCACTGCAGAGTTTAGTCCTCCTCCCTGTAAAGGCCCCATAACCACCTCTCTAACCACCTCCCTGCCTCATCACACCTCCTCCAACTATATCACAGTCCTGGCCAAAACTACAATTCTTTAGCAGTTCTCCACTGCCTACAGAATCAAATCAGAACTTCTCTGCATGGCATGGGGAGGCCTGCCTGCCTTCATAGCCCCATTTCTGGCTTCTCCCACAGTGTACATTATGCTCCATCAGAGCTGAGCTACTCAGCTCATACATCTAGTGATGCCATGCCTTTGCCCAGGCTGTGCCCTCCGCCTGGACCTCCCTTCTCCCAGCCCCTCTCCCTTACCTATTTCTGGTCATTCCTTAGTTCTCATCCTTTTCCTGATTGCCTCATGCAGAGTTAGCATTTTCTTTCTTCATGGCACTCCCACTACACTTTGTAGAAACTCCCATCTAACATTCGTTCAGTGGACTTGAAATTGCTTAAGGAGTTCCTTCTCTTCCAGACACAAGCCCCTTCTGTGCTAGAGCCCTGTCTGGTCATCTCTGTTCCTTAGAATATTGTCTGGCACCAGTGGGCATCAGTAAAAAAGTGTTGCATAAAAGGGAAACCGAGTTCCAGGGAAGGTTTAAGTAATGTCTCACCCTCAGCCTCATACATTCTCAGCCTTCAGCAAATCTGCGATGACCAGTTATCCATAGGGTTGGATTGCAGTGGCAGTGGGACTACTTCAGGGCCTCATTGAGCGCCTACTATGTGAAAGGCAGTGGCTGTAGACCATAGATGTGGCTTCTGCCTAAAATGAATTTGCCCTATTCTGGAGAAGACAGATGTATATACAGCTCTGATACTTTGGAAGCACGTGCAAAATGCAGTGGCAGCATCCACGGCAGAGCTGCCTTATCTGTTTGTGGAAGGTGGCATTTGAGCTGAAACTTGAAGGTAGATTAGGATTTTGCCAGACAGAAGTAGGCGAAGGGTATCCTAAGTGGAGGACCTAGCAGGAACAAAGGCTTGCAGGTGGAAAGATGATACAGCCTGCAGCTGGAGCTTGAGCTGCATCAGGGGAGGGACTGGGGGTGGACCACAGGCGCCCGAGGCAGTTATAGAGCAGAGTAGCATTGTGGCCAGAGCTGAGCTTGGGTTGAGTGCTTGGGGACGATGGATGGCATGGACAGGGAGGGAGGTGGGTAGAATCTCATACCCACCCCTCTTGTCACACAGGGCAAGGTTGCTGCTTTCTTCGTGGCTGACCTGGGTGCCATAGTGAGGAAGCATTTTGGCTTTCTCAAGTGCCTGCCGCGAGTCCGGCCCTTTTATGCAGTCAAGTGCAACAGCAGCCCGGGTGTGCTGAAGGCACTGGCTGAGCTGGGGCTGGGCTTCAGCTGTGCCAACAAGGTGAGCCCCCTGCCTCCTGCCGGTGTGCTGAACCTGGCTGCCTACTGAGCATGCACATGGATGGGCTGGTGCGGGTGGGCCCTGGGGAAGCAGGAGTGACCTGCAGCTGGCCCCTGCCCTCTGACGGGAGGTAGGGGGGGAAAAATGAGGAGCTCTGAGCGTGGATTTTGCCATCCTTAAAGTTCCAGTTTGGAACCTTGTGTGTCCCTAGGTGAATGGGCCACCTTTTTAATGGAGATTTTCAAACTTCTTGGCATACAGCTATACATGGTATTCTTCTAATTAAAACAAAACAAAACAAAAAAGCCTTCATATCATTGGTTTTATTTTATTTTTTCTTCTATAATCTTAATATGTGACTGTATTCTCTTAACTAATCCTTTTAGGTTTTCTTGTGTGTGTGTGTGGATTCTGCTGTTTTCTAATTTGATTTCTGTTGGTGCCTTAATTCTCTCCTGCTCTCTTTTGATTTACTTTGCATATATACTGTCATTTAATATTCCTTCCCCAAATATTCATTGAACTCCTACAATGTGCTAGTGACTGCTAGGTTAGGCTGGCAGTACAGTGTTTAGTAGGACTCAGTTGTCCCTGAGTTGAATGCTTGATTCATCTATTTTCGACCTGTTCTTACTTAATGATAAAAGCCTTTAAAGCTGTACGTTTTCCTCAGAGTACAGCTCTGGACATATCTCATTTATTCATTCAGCAAATATTTATTGAGCACCTACTATGGGGCCAAGTACTATTCTAGGTGGGGATTTAGCAGTGACCAAAGTAAAACAAAAGCCCTTTCCTCATAGGACTTGCTTTCCAGAAAATAAACAAGTCAAAGAATTAAAATATGTATTTTAGGTGGATTTAAAGTATGTATTTTAGATGGTAAATGCCGTGGAGGGACGGGAGGACTGCAATTTTAAATAGTTTGACCAGGGAAGGCTGCTCTGAAATTTGAATATAGACCTGAAGGAAGAAGAGGATCAAGCTATGTGGTTAACTAGGGGGAGAGTGTTCTAGGCGGGTAACAGCAAGTGCAAAGGCCCTGACATGGGCGCATGGCTGTGTGCATCGGTTTGTGATATTGTCGTTACTGTTATTTTCTTAATGGTTGGCAATGGTTGTTCCGAGAGGGAGCCCCTTTTAAACCCTGGTGAGCAATATGGCTGGATGTTGTGAGGAGAGTTCTAGAAAGGCTTCCTGGAGGAGAAAGGAGGAGAGCTAGCATGGGCAGGATGACAGGGCAGGAGGATATTTCGGGTGGGAGAGAGGTGTGCACCAGGATGGGATGGGCAGAATGAGCAGGTGAGCTCATTGTCAGTGCTCTCAGTACCAGATAAGTCTCTCCTTCTTGTCATCTGCAAAGCCTCTTTGAATGAGCCCTTGCTTCGCATACCTCATTTGGTGTGTGTCTTACCTAAAGCCCGGTGAGGTGCATAACAAAACAAAAAATCAGGTGCCTTCGAATTGATTCCAACTCATGGCAACCCCATGTGTTGCAGAGTAGAACTGTGTCTCATAGGGTTTTCAAGGCTGTGTCCTTTTGGAAGCAGATTGCCAGACCTCTGGGTGGGTTGAAACTGCCAGCTTTCCTGTTAGTAGTTGAGCGCTTAACTGTTTGTGCCACCCAGGGACTCCTTGTGAGGTGCATAAAACCAAACCCAGTGCCGTTGAATCAATTCCGACTCATAGTGACCCTATAGGACAGAGTGGAACTGCCCCATAGGGTTTCTAAGGAGCGACTGGTAGAGTTGAACTGCCCACCTTTTGGTTAGCAGCTGACTCTTAACCACTGCACCCCTAGGGCTCCATAGGGGGAGTTATTTCCATTTTACAGCTGAGGAAACCCGGGGCCCAGTTGCACACACCTTGCTGGTAAAGAGCCAGGACTTTCCTCCTTGCTGCTGCCTGCAGCACACTGGGCCTTCTCCACTCTGGGTGAGGAAGGGGAGCCTTTTCTGACCCCTTAGTCCACGAATGAAGAGCAGGAACAAACCCCACGGACAGCTTCCTCAGCTTCTGGAAACCCAGGGGTGAGGCACTTGGCCCTCTAGCCTCAGGGCCTTTCCTGCAAAGGTTGGATTGTTGGGTGTGAAGCTTAGAAAGATCTTGAAAGTTGGGGATGTTTAAAGCAGCTACCAGCTTGCTGAGTGCTTATGTGATGCCAGGCGTTTTGCCAAGCGTTTTCTGTACATGGTCTTACTTTATTCTTGTAACAGCCCTGTGAGGTCATTATTACCAGGATTCTGACAACAACCCTGTGAGGAAGCATTTAGTATATAAAGAAGAGAGGCATGGATGTTGAGCGACTTGCCCAGGGTCAAGTACTGGGAAGTGGCAGCATCAGTATGGGAATGCGGTCTCGGCTCCATCACTACTGTCTTTTCCAACATCCTTGGGACAGGGATGGCTTAGGTGAGACTTGGCAGGCCAGTGGCGGGTGCCCTTGGCTAACTGCAAGGGTAAGGAGAAGCCAGTCCCTTTCCTGGTGGGTGGGACCTTGAAGACCCTTCAGTGCATTTAGGAGAAATGGCTCCTGGAATGCACAGCTTTTCTTGGAAGGCCGAGGCCGCCCTCTTCTGGTCAGCTGTGTCGTGTGGCCATCCTTAGCAACACCTTGCCTTAGCAGACATAGATGGAGGCAGGGGCATGAGCCACAGAGCCTACAGACATGCATCGGATAGGCTCCAGGGCCACGCCTTGCACAGGAGCACTGGTGCACTCACCCACCTTCTCAAGGACCTTGTGCCATCTCTCATGCCCCCACCTCTTGCCCTCTCTCTCTTTTTTTGTTCTCTTGGTAGTTTTTTTTTTTTTTTAAACTGTGATTTAGGTGAAAGTTTACAGCTGAAGTTAATTTCTCATTCAAAAATTTATACACATATTGTTTTGTGACA